ACTACATCGTGTGTTGGGCGCGCCTTAATGGGTGGTTGGTGATCTACGAGCCGCTCCTGTCTCGGTACAATAGGGTAAGGTTCATCGAGGGCGTTTTGGGGAAGATACGGATGAGGTCAGGAAATTGCCGAGATCAAGCGGAGCAATGCGGGGTTGTATATTCAAAATGAGTTTAGTCAGCAGTTTTTGGAAAGAACGTCAATTCGCAATAGAGAATTCTTCGAGCAAATGCCGGTGGATATGAAGGTGTATGGGAGAAGGTGGGAAGGGCGGAGCGAAGCGATTTTTGAATATTTTGAGTAGGGCGTTGGATGGCAATGATTTGAACTTCACGAGGCGGTTGTATTCTCCGTTGATTGAGAAGGCGGTTCATAAGGAGCTCGTGATTAAGTTCGGAGATGGTATCGATTTGGAACAGCTCACCACCGAGCAGATAGAGTAAGCGTGTTGGTCATGTCGTTGCTATTGAGGACTGTGTGTAGGTACAAGCTCGAGAGGATGGCCCACTATCGTAGGGATGTGAAGGTAAGGTGGGATTGTAAACCATCAACTACATGTGTTGGTGTTGGGACTTTTCATACTCGAATTCGTGTATCAAGTTCTGCATTAGAACATTAGTAAGGAAAGAGCATGGCCATCACTGGTGGTGAATATGTTGTGATGAGAGGGAGGTAGATACCGTCGATGACGACCCCTTTGCCGGAGCCGAAGACCTTGTGGGAGATAGTGGACTTTGCGTTGGACAACCAGGCTTATGCTTGTCAAGCTGTATATGAGCTTTTCGAGCAGTTGAAAGTAGGGAGGGCCTTTTGCTGGTCGTGTGGGATGGTATGATGAGAAAAATAGAGGGATATATAGAGGACTTGGCGAATGCTCTGTGCTAGGTACAGACAAAGTTCCCCCTGCTAATTGTTTGCGACGAGTGGTGTGAGGCTTTCCCTGTGTCGCACTATGTGTCTATGAGGTAGCTTTTATGGCTGCATTTCTCGACGAGGATTTAGGTATGACAACACGATCTACAACGGTTACATTCCGGCTTACCATCTTACGATGTCTAGGCTGTTCTCGAAGTGGGACGGGGAAGAGTGAGTGGTCTCGGGTTTTGTCGGGTTGGAATCGTTTCGTTGTCAGGTATAAACGTGGTGTTAAACTGTATGGGACATCATGGCGGTTTAGAAATCGGAGGTGGGTTTGTTGTTGGCTTTGATGTTGGTGAGGTTCTTGCTGGTAGAGACTATCGACCAGAGTTGTGTGGGGTGAGGGACGATGAAGTGAGGGAAGTGTGGTATCATTAATGGTTTAGAATTATGTTCAGATTAAAACAGTGCGCAACTTTAGCAAGCACGAATTTGCGAATTATGTCGGCTATTATCGGCTGATGAACATCTTGTTCAACTTCCCCAGAGACAAACTCGAGTAAGCCACCTCAGTGGTGTCATTGACTGTTTAGTTGCTCTCAGGTATTTCTATATGCTTTCTCAAGGGAATGGCTTCCAGGCTCGACGTTTGCTTATCACGCTGTATTGAGTGGTGGTCTCCTCCCATGTGGTGTTTCTAATATCGTGTTTCTGCTATTTTCCGCTTGGAGTTGGTG